ACGCTGATGCGGCCTGTCACCTCGGTGCGGCTCGCACGCTTAGCATGCTGGAACGTTACTGTTGGTGGATTGGCATGAGTGTACGAAATGGTGGGTGCGACATGGTTTGCGATGCCAAGCCCGTAAATCGTCTCGTCAGACTCCTCGGTGGCCTACCATGTCCCTTCCTTTGCCTTCGGGCCCTGGTGTGTCGGTGAGTATTGACTATTTTGGTCCACTTCCGTTGACACCGCGTGGCAACACATACATTCTGCTCATTACAGACCGTTTCAGCCGCCGTGCTGATATGTACGCGGTTACGGCTGCAGAATTCACCGCCGACGGCACAGCTGACATCCTTGTCAACAGGTATATCCCTTGGTGGGGTTGCCCGTTGAGTCTTTTGTCTGACAACGGCTCTCAGTGTTGCTCTTAACTGTCCCAAGCCGTGAATGCCCGTCTTGCTATCCGCAAAGTGGCTACTAGCTCGTACCATCCCAATGGAAATGGGGGTGCCGAGCGCGTCAACCACCTTATGGCTCAAATGTTGGCTATGGTTGTCAACGAACGACAAGATGATTGGGACATTCATCTCCCACACGTCGCGTTTGCTTACAACAATTCCGTTAGCGCCGCTACCGGTTTAGCGCCCAATGAGGTGCATATGAATCGATTGCCTCGTTTACCGATGACTGTTCTTGAGCATCCTTACGCTCGTGGCCACCAAAGCTTGCATCGTGATCAACTCGAATATTGCGATCTTGCTGCTGATCGCCAACGTCGTTCTTACGACTTGGTGCGTGAACAGCATAACCTGTCCGTTTCGCGGATCGAGCGGCGAAATTCCACTATATTGGACGCTTTCCACAAGCTTCCTTCTTACACTGTTGGTGGATGGGTTTGGGTGTATAATTCCGAATCTACCATCCGACAAGGCGTTCGTTCAGGCACAGATGATAAGGTTCTCAAAGCCAAGTTTTCTCTACTCTGGACTGGCCCCTTCAAAATCTTGACTGTGGGCCCATGTCTGACAGCCCTGACGGTCGTCCTTTGGCTTCCAAGTTGCTTTACTTGGATCTTCCTTCGGACCTACCGGGCCAAGACTCGAAACCTCGTGTTTCGGTTGTGCGTTGCAAGCCTTGCGCCAACCCGCATGACACCGATGACCTGCCGCGCTTTCTGCCTGCTGGTCTTACTCCGTATGTCCTGCACTCTTATGCGAACAAATCTCCTCCCTACCAGTTACGGAAGACGACGTGTCAACTCCGGTTGAACGTTTAGAGGTTGAACGCATTAGTGGCCACCAGTCCATCCGTGGCCGTGGGGGCACGATAGCTGTTATATATCAGACACACTGGCAGGGCATTCTGCGCCCTTCTTGGGAGCGTGAGTTGGACCTGCAGCACTCCAAGCCGCAGATTCTCCGGTACTGGGCAGGTTCGCCTGACCAACATCGCCAAACAAATCGCCGTTATCGTGCGATGCGCATTGGAGCCGCTACGAGGGAATTGGCGCGTGCTCAAGGTACGCGAGCTTTGCCTTCGGGCTACTCGTTTGTTTCCCGTTCAACATGGGACCGTCGCTTCGCCAACACTCCTCTACCGGTGGGCGCCTTCTTCTGGTACAAGGCACTAGATGGACTCTGGTGGTTGGGCAAGATTTCTGGACCACCTCTGCCGTCCGACTTCTACGTCGTCCGCTTCTTGGACGATCCTGGACCTGTCAAGCTCGCCCTTCCCGATGTTCGCTACTCTACCGTCGAAACCGCCGTCCCCGGATCCTGGTGCCTCCAAGGNGTCGCTTCGCCAACACTCCTCTACCGGTGGGCGCCTTCTTCTGGTACAAGGCACTAGATGGACTCTGGTGGTTGGGCAAGATTTCTGGACCACCTCTGCCGTCCGACTTCTACGTCGTCCGCTTCTTGGACGATCCTGGACCTGTCAAGCTCGCCCTTCCCGATGTTCGCTACTCTACCGTCGAAACCGCCGTCCCCGGATCCTGGTGCCTCCAAGGACACAGCGGCAGCGCCCTATTCAAGGGTGTTCTTCGCAACATCGACATGTCGCGTGGCGACGTTGTGACCGCTTCGTTCTGATGACATCGCGCGCCCACATTAAGATGACATGCTTGGTTGTTTTTGCCTTCTGGTGCTCTTGCAATAGCATTCTTTGTTTTCGTTTTCTCGTTTTCTTTCTTTTGGTTTCAATAGTCCGCCAGATCGAGCTTTCTCTGTTCCCTGCCGAGGTTTTGCCAGCTGTTGTTTAGTGTCACGACCCCTCTTCTTCTTGGTTTCGCTTCCGACACGTTTGGTTTCCAGCCTTTTGGTACGTTGTGATGCTTTTGTACTTTTTCTTATATTTTTGCCTCTACTTCTTAGAGTCTGCGGGCTAAAGGTGCCTCACATGACCTTTGTTGTCGCTCCCACGCTACCGTGGTGATTATTTGGCGTATCTTATCGTTTTGTCGATACAGGCCTTTTTCTTTCACCATTCCCTTTCCGTCGCTCCGGCGACGCTTATTTTGTTCGTTCTTTCGTGTCCTCTTTTCCCCTTTCGTTTGGGTTCTGACCTGTTATGGTATTTGTCGCCTTCGCCTGTTGCGGCTCTCCCGTTGGTTTCCTCTCTGTTAGCCCCAGTTTATTTACTTCCTGTACCTGCTTTTTTATCGGTCAAACGATGGTCTTGCGACCCATCGAGTGTGAGGTGTGGGAGGGTAAATTGTAGTATTTTGGAGCTCCGCATCCTCGATACTCTCATTTGGGATTTGACCAGTAATTGTCAAGTTCGGAGATGTAGTGTGTGTATGAGAACATCCAGGGTGGGCTAGTGATATGGGATTTGAGTGTGTAGGAAAGTGCAAACCGTAGTGCGGGCTAATGCCCAGAGAAAAGTGCGGGAGATGCAACTCCCCACGGAAGGATAAAACAGGGGACAATATCTAGTAGCCCCTGCTTTAGCAGCTGATCCTGGCCCCATCCTAGTCATCCTCTACCTTCCCTTGGCAACAGCTACTGCTGTTCCATGCGAGCTAATAACAAGTGAGTTGGTCTTCACGGGTCTCCCAGATTGCACCGCGCGTGCATATCCTTTACATTTAACAAAGGGCCTTAGGATAAGAACAGGCCCCCCAAAAAGTGGCAGCTGCAAGATAAAACTCATGAAGGTGGTGAGGGGTGACTCACGGGGTGTCCGGCGACCCCACCCACCGGCAGTTTCAGATCAGCGACGAGGAGGGGGATCTCCGTTTCAAATAATAGACTACTGGTGCGGAGGGGGGGGGGCGGGGCGTACTCTTATGTTTTGCATATGTTAGTGGTTAGACCATTGACCACGCGTCCTCGAGAGGACGAAGTATTGTTCCCACAGGACCGAAGACCGATTTGTCAATCGTCCCTTCCTACTTTACCAAAAAAGGTGTCTCAAAAATGTTGTCCCTAGCCTATCTATCCTATCGATATTACGTCCCGCCTCTTCAACCCACGTTCCATGCCCCAGTACAGATACATACCTGTCTGGTATTCCATGCCTCAAACATTTCCCTGTATCTCCCTAATACTTTTTTTCCCAAGGCTCAGTCACANGCGTGTCATTGGGGTGCCTGCCACGCTGCGTGCCATGCACGAGAGCCATACATGTATCTTTACCCTCTGAAAAACTGAAAGAGCTCGGCCGGCTGTCAAAGTTGAAAGGAGGTGTAATTCTTGATCGACACTTAGAGGCCATCAAAGAAAATGTCATTTCTGGCAACTGCCGCCCACGAAGTCAGACTGGGAGGCCATCGAGTCGGCGCGGGGGCGACGAAAGCTTGCCGACACCTCTTCCTTCGTCGCACCCACCAGTTTTCGAATTCAAGCGTCTAAATCCGCTGCTGCTCTTGACAGTTCGTTGCTGAATGTGGAGTACTCCTAAAGCTGAGCATGGACCGCGGCCGTCTCAGGAGCGTACCCGCCACCTTTACGACTTCCGTATGCATTTCGAGCTACATGTAGACCAAAGACGCGCCGCATGAATGCCGTTGGAGAAGCACAGTGAAGATGTGGGTGCGGTGGTAGGGTGGTGGGCTTTGCTTGAGGGGAGTGTGCCGTAGAGCAGGGAGGAGGTCCGGCATTCGAAGAGCAGGGTGAAGGTCGCAATGCAGCTACGACGGGCGTTAGATAGAGCGGGGAGGGCAATCACGCCGCACGTGACCCTTGTAGACCTCTACGTGGTTCGACGTGTTCGCTCCAATGCGTCTTTTGTTCAGGCGATACCGCGTGTGTATTCAACTCTACCCTATCGTGATCTGCGGTACGTCGATATTCCAGAGGTCTCTGTTGAGCGACCTTCTAATGTTATTCTCTGTTTTATGAACATGCTCTCAAGTGTCACGCTGAATCCACCCAGAAAAGAAAAAACTCCCCCGAATGTCCGAATGGGGCCCTCGGCGCAGAAATAAGAACAAGAACCCCGTGTATCATACGGATATGCCTGCTCGAATAACAAGTTTGAAAGTAAGAACAGGTGCTCAAGTTGAGGCAGCCAATAAACATCGAGCCTTGGCCAATGTAAGCGGTTCTTAAGTGCGGGCGCCATCTGTATCTACATCACTTCCGGCCTCTTCAACCTTCTTCCTACCGGAATGCCTCAACACATCTACCGTCTTTTCCTCCTGGCTATTACATGTCGCAAGCATCTCTATGGCTCCTACTTTTTTCCCCAGCTCACAGACATGAATGTGTCTCTCTCCTTCTGTTGTTGTACATCGAACTTGCCGCAAAATATTTTACATGAACCCGGTCTTCGCGCTCGGAGCCTCTTTTAACGTTTGGACTGTGAGGGGGGCGGCGTTGCCCGTTGATGCTCTACTGCTGTGTTCTTGGAGTAATGTTAAAATCCAGTGAGAAAGGCCTGTGCCCTCGGCATGGGGCAATCGGCGTGCAAATGAGAACAAGAAGCCCGTCTATCCTGCCGGCTTATGGAGACAGGCCCTTAGATACACAGGAAAACGGGTTCAGTTTGACGCAACAAATAAGCGTCGAGCCTCGGCAAAAAAAAAAAATGCTTGGTGGCGCGTGTACTTCTCTTTTAATTGCCTTCAGAGCAACCCTACACACATGACATCGGACCTTCAAAATCGTACCCAGCCTGTAGCAAGAGAAATCCCGGCCATCGTCCAATCGAAGGCACTACATTCAGATTGTCTAGCACCGAACAACTGTACCATTCTCCGCTGTTGTGCTACTCAACCAAAAAAAAAAGGAGGCAAGCAGAAGAAACCTTGGTGCGTGATCCTGGCGGGAATGCATCCTTACGCGTGTTGTTAAAAAGGGCCTGATTCCCAAGGTATCCGTCATTTGAAATTTCAAATTCATGAACACTTCACAACCAACCGCCAAAAACGCAACCCCCTGCTTACCGTCAAAACATTTGCGGTTTACAGCAGCACGACCACCGTACGGTAGTACCACCGAAAAAATGACACCATACTCAGTCTTTGCCGCCTCCGCCGTTACCGTCACAACGCGAAACCGCCCACCGCGATCCTCAAAGTAGCTACTTACCAGCTGTTTGACTTGACAGCACACTCTCTCGAGACACGGAGCACCGCCGCTGGTCCCACTTCAATGCCGCTTGAACTATTTGATTTTGCGCTGTTCTCTTGGACCATTCCCCCCCTCCGCTTCCAAACACCGCCGGTCGCGACGATCCAAACGAACAATCCACTCAGGTGCCACTCAACTCCATGCCAAAACTACAGCTCCTCCTCTTCCTCATCCTCCTCCTCCTCCCCTTGTTCCCGTCGTCCCCCTCGTCCTCCTTCCGGCATCGCCGCGGTGACCACCCTCACCCGCCCCTGCCCGTCCTCGGCCTCCCGAACAACCCCTCCCTCGCTACTTCTACTACTGTTCTCCCCCCCCGCTAGGAGGCGATCAACCCGCAAACGCCGTCGCCCCGCTTCCGCGACACAGGCCGCCCACGTCTGCTTGGAAGCCAACGACGACGAGAGCTCGGTCGCCACCTCTTCCCCATCACCGCACCTGCTGCCGCAGCCGCTGCTGCCGGCGACGACCCCCTCCTCCCCGTTACCGCGGGCACCGTTCCCGCCGTGATGACCCCCGCGGTGGCGGCGGCGGCCGCCGCCGCCGCCGAGCAGGCAAGTCAACCCTTCCGCGGTAGCTGCAAGCACGGCTTCGGTTATCAGTCGCGGCGACGGCCCCCTCGGCCGTTGCCACGGCTCCATCGGCTGGAAGCTAGCCGAAGTCATCTCTTCTCCAAGTGCCCCCTTGTCCTGCTGGTTTCGCCCATCTTGCTGCGGAATGTTTTGTGCCATCAACTGAAAATTCTCGATCGGCAGGCGGCGGCGGCGGCGGCGGCGGCGAGGTCGGTAGTAGGGGGAAAGCTCCGACGGGCTAAGAGCCGTGTCCGACTCCGGAGATGACAGTACCCCCTGAGGGTTGAAACGTGAGAGCGGGAGCGGGTTTGGGTTCCAGGGGTTAGAAGGCAGGAGGCCACGTTCAATGTTTGCAGGAATGGATGGCGGCACCGAGGCCGCCGTTTTGTTTTTTTGTTCTTTGGTGGGGGGTTCAGGTTCACCCTACATACTGTGGTAGGTACACCGCCACTACATTGTCCTCCTGGGGAAGGCCGGCTAATCCGACTTCCAAGCGTTTTGTGAAACGTCTGGCCAAGATACTTTTTGCGGTCGCATCGTTGAGCAGCGGTCCTTCTATGCCACTGAATCGCTGTGGGGGATAGATTGTAGCGTCATTTCTCCGGCCACGAGCACTACAATAGCAGTACGACTACCGGCAGCACTTCCCTCCGGCGAACCCCCCCCCCCGACCACACCACTACGATAGCCTCTCTCCCGCCATCATTTTCTCGGGAGGGCCTTCTCCCCCCCCCAAAGAGAGGAGCAGGACAGGAAGACGGCCGTGTAGCAAGAGAGCTGCGTGTCGGGAAGCTCTCTCCCGTCGGGAGGGGGGGGGGAGGGGAAGGAACCGGCGAAACACCTCATCGTCGTCGTCGTCGTCGTCGTCGTGAAAACTAGAACTCACAAGCAGTTCGTCAGCGTACTCTCCGAGCAGCGCCGCCGTGGGACCGCCGCCGCCGCAATCGGCGGCATCACCGGGCTTGCCCGCCGACGCAGAGGAGGAGGCATCGTCGCCCAGCGCCACCAGCGCTATCAGGATGTGCAGCACCAGGGAGCGGAGGGCGACCTCTAGGTCGCCGGCGTACCTATGTCGGTCAAGAAGGAAGAACGGGGCCATCAACAGGGGGCACAAGGATCCGTCGAAGGGAGCAAATAGGTTATAGAAGAAGCCCACATCAAATCATTGGACTACAATAATTAGCGCTAAACATAGTCTTGATGGTTTGATTTCGGCTTCGGTGAAAGATATAGTCGTGGGGTCTGCCATTTGGTCTTGATGGTTTGCTTCCGGCTCCTGAAAAAGTGAAAATCGTGGTGTCTGAACGACCCCATGTGACACTTTCACTCCGAGGAAGGAGGATGAGTCCCATCGATTTCGGCTTCTGAAAGCCAACAACGGGGAACAGGTTAAATGTTGTTTGTTCGGATTGGGGTGCAAGCACGACACGGAGGTTCGTGCATTGACAATCGTGTGGGGGGGGCACACAGCAGTCGGGGCAACTACGTTGATGAGGGCGAGCAAAACAGCGACAACCTCCCCCCCTCCCCTCTCCCCTCCAAATTCTTCTGATTACTCTGATCAAAGCGTGAAAATCAGCGACCAGACCCCTCCCCTCCTCCAAATCCTTGATTTTTTTTTGTGGCTTGGCTCTCACCTCATCTGTGTGGAATCCGCCACAATGGAGCGGTTCTTGCAGGCGTCAAGACCCCGGAGACAGCCGCCCAGTATCGACGGCAGCTGGTCGCCGTACGCGCGGGCGTCGAGGACAGCCTTGAGCGCGTGGGCAGCGTGGGTCCGGACCTTGAGATGATTGTCGTCCAAAACGGCCCTATTCCGATTGTTGTTATTGGTAAATTGGGTGTGGATATTCGCCAGAAGAGGCGGGGGGNGGGGGGGGGGGGGGGGAGCGAGGAGGTGAAACGAATGGCACCAACAGCACCACAGCAGTAGCAGCAGCAACACAGGCCTACACTGGAGGAGCGGCGGGAAAGTCGCAAATCTCCTCGCGCCAAAAGCCGGGTCGGAACGACAACAATGTGCGTCAACCCGAGAGGCGATGAGAACCGTGCACATATCTCACTGCGTAGTAGACGTACCGAGGTCAAACCTTTGGTGCCGTCATGTGAACTCACGGATCTGTTTCGGGTGCAAACCGCTTCGGCGTGAGACGATTCGATCAAGAGATGGAAGCGTCGCACAAGACTGGGCTGTTGTGGGAGAAAATTCCGCCGGCACTTTTACTACTTTTATTATCTACTTGAAGAGAGAGTAAGCTTTCAACGGTCCATCCACAGATGAAGCAACACTTCGTGTCACCAGCGATGCCTTTCGTCTCTGGATAGAAGCGCACCCCACGCACCCACCTCGCTTGCGTCCGAGAGAGAACGGTTAGTGGACGTGGCAACATCGAAGGTTTGGCCTCGATGCGTCAACTACGGAGTGAACAATGTGAACAGACAGGGTAGTCCGCTTTCAAGGTGGAAATGTGTGCTCTCCGTTGATGACGCGCGTGCACAGGCCAGGGCGAAAATGAATTTTGTTCGCTCGCCTTGATCGTTTTTCTCCGCTGTGGGCGCCCGTGGCGTCGATACAGTATAGCCAGGGTGCATTAGAGGCCCTTGCGAATGTGCCACGTGCAGATTTTACAGCGTTATGGACGATAACGTTGACTGACCTGTGGTAATCTCACCGCACTCACCAAAATTTGTGAGCCCGCTCCAAGATTTGTCCAACAAGCTCGAGCAGATAAATCTTGGGTCAAGATTTGCTCGAAAAGACAACTTTTTGACCGCAGACACATCTGGGCCCAAGATCAAGATTTAACCCAAAGATTGTCTCCCGAAAAAGATGGATTTGACTCTTGTACAAGAAACAATGACCAACCTTACAACCAGCACTGACTGTTGTCCGGAAAATTGGCGCGCATACATGGGTCAGCGAGCGCCTTTGCAAAAAACGAACCACGAACGACAGTTGCAGCAACGATTGCATTTCATGGACGAAATAGTCAATACCCTTTCGCTCCCCTCGGAGTGGAGGGGTTAGTACGCAAACAACGTACGAGAGCTTCGCCTCGCCGTCTCCAAGTCCTAAGAACACGAACGGCGAAGCAAACACCGACACCAGAATATCGTGTGTACCGGGAACGAGCAAAAGGCACATGGAGGTAGACAACAGCCAGCGAAACGCGACCTCTCTTACCTCCCTAGGGACTGCATGAGTACGGGCGCCCACTGGGCCCTCGCGGCCCTCGCTTGCACCCCCCTCGCGGACAAGACGACCCCAAGGGCGATGCAGCAGTTCCACCTGCGGTTCATGGGGGTGTAAAGGAGTATACAACAACGGGTGGGTTGCCTGTGGTTGTCGTGTGCATGCTAAGCGAGTTCAGTAAAAAGCTGCCGGTACTCTGCAAAAAGAGCTCGTTGTAGGCTACGGCGTGTACAAATTGACGGTGCGACATTCGCAAGCCACACGGATACCATATCGAAAACACGTGCTTGGAAAAAGAAGTTAAAACTGCAGCCATGCCGGGGTCCCGTTTCGGTTTCGGTTTCGGTTTCGCTGATCACTCAACTGTAGTAGCGTGAAAGCGTTGATTGATACCACGGGCCCCCTCTCCCCAGCAGCAGGTCTGACCTGCACTTTGCGCCCGCGATTTCGGCCCGCCGGTCCCCGCCGCCGCTTCCGCCTTCACCCCACGCCCCGCAATTTCTCAGCTCCAGGTCCCCCTTCTTGTCCGGCGCCAGCCGTGTCGACAAGGTCAATATGGCCTTGTCCTGCAGGTCCCTGTCTCCTCCGTCCTCCTCGCCACTCTCGCCGAAGCCATCCCCGCCCCGCTCTTGTACCGGTCTTCTGCCGGCCATCGCCGCCGCCTCCACGGTCGGACCAATCGCAATGACGTCAACCTCGTCTCCTTCCACCGGTAACAAAGACGCCGCGCTCTCGTTGTCTCTTGCCCTCGCCTCTACGACGCCATTTTTCCCACCCCGACCGTCGGCGCCGCCGCCAAAATTTTCGGGATCTAGCCCCCACGCCAGGTAGCCCAGGGCACGAACGGCGCTGCCCGCTGCGTGGTTGGGCTCCGTGGCCGCTAGCCGAAGCGCGCCGTCGCAGAGAGAGCGCAGCCGCGGCCGCGGGAGCAGGTCGCCGGTGCCGGCGCCGGTACCCGCCGCGGGGGAGACCTGACAGTCCCGCGTCCCCTCCGGCGGCGGCGGCTGCTGCTGAGCGCAAGAGGTGATCGGTGATGACAATGATGACGGCGTTGGTGGCGGAAGCGAGCGGCGCCTCGACCGGATGCCGTGCAGCGAACAGGAGAGGTTGCCTACGGCCAGCATGGCCTGAGCTCTGATGGTGGCCTTGGGTTTGTTGGCGTTTTGATTGGTTGTCGTCGCGTCGCCACGCCGAAAAAGGCAACATCCAGGCACCGCCGAGCAGGAAAAAAAACAGACAAGGCGTGCGGGGGCGGGCGGGGGGGATGTGGGCAAAGTGCTTGGACTGTGCGATAGCAGTTGCGGTGAGCGAGGGAAGGCGAGACGCGGTGCCGGCGGAAGCATTGCCAAGTTTGACAGGTGTAAGTTCCCCATCTACAGTAGTAGACCGTGACCCCTCCATTCCGCAAAAAAACAAAAAATGGTCACGATACTTCCGCCACCCTCACCGCCCAGTATCTCCATTGTCCTTCAACGGATATACGTAGATGGTACCCCTCCGGTTCCCCCCCATCACCTGTCTCACCTTGGTATCCTCCATCATTTCTTGCAGCCTTGCGGCGCAGCGGTCTAGGAACTCGGGGTCCCGGCACCACGCCGCCGCACCTTCCTCGCCTGCCATGGTCATCACGCCGGCCACCACCCTGCAGGCCAGGATGTTCACACCTATTCAAAACACCACCGTAAGCAGCAGACCAAGGGCCGAACGAAGTTTAATAAACAGTGCAGCACATTCCCATGGTGTGTATGCACGCGTGACAAAGCATCACTACAATACGCACGTTCAGGGAGGGAACAGGGACTAAGGAGGAAGCCAACGTTCACCGGAGACTATATACCACGGAGCCGTGCGCAGCGATCACAAGAGACGGGGGCCCCCCATACAGCACTTAAAAAAAAAAAAGGCAGAGCCACTCGTCTAGACACCTCCGGCACCCACCGGCCGCCCTGTCCCTCGTCGCGGCGAGCACTCTACCCAGGCATCGGTCCCTCTCCGGGTCAGAGAAGGCCTCCCAGTCCGACTTAAGCAGGCTCGCGTGGCACGAGCACGCCACCGCCCGGACGCCGTGGTAGGGGTCCTCCAGCGCCCGCTGCAGGTGCTTCTGAACAAGATCCCTCCACACCTTGCCGCCGCCGCCACCACCGCCGCCACCAGTAGCAGCGGTTCCGCTGCTCCCAACGACCCCCCGTCTCTCTGCGACATTCTCTGCGACATTCTCTGCGACATTCTCTGCGACATTCGAAATCGGCGTTCCTTGCGACAACCCCGCTCCCTCTACTCCCTCCGCCGAAAGCCCGCCAGCAGCGGCTGCCGTCTCCGAGAGCGGATTCTGTTTCGGAGACACGCTTTCAGCGGCAGGGGCAGCACCACCAGCAGTTCCGGAAAAATTTTCCCCTGCCACCGACAAGGCCTCTGCCGCCGCCGCCGCCGCCGCCGCCGCCGCCGCCTGCTGCTCCGCCCGCGCGAGCAGCAGCGCCTCGAGGACCTTGAGGGCGTGGAGACGCAAGTTCTGGTCCGGGTCCGCGAAGCAACGGAGCAGGAGCGCCGAGACTCTCTCCCAGGTCGTCGCCGTGGTCGTCTCTGCGACCGCGCCTCTCGCGCTGCAGCCGCCGGAGAGGTGAGCGGGGTAAGACCGCCCGATGCGTGTGAGCAAGCCGAGCGCTTCCGCCCGCAGCTGGCCAGGCGCGCCGGCCAACGCTATCAGGCGATCTACGAAGGAGTCACCGCCGCCACCATCGCCATCATCTCCACGGTCGTTGGCTCCTTCCGACGGTGCCGCCAGGCCTGCTGGCGCTGGCGCTGTCGCCGCCGCCGCTGGCGCTGTGTCGTCGTCGACCGTTGACTCTCGAGGAAGCGGAGGGGGCATCTGGTCCGACGCCCTCGCGCCCCTCCGGTCGGAAGCGCGTAGCCCTCCTCGTGCCCGTCCTCCTACATCGGCTCCTCTGGTACCCCCGCCACCGCTGCTCCTACTCCTGTTGCTGCTATCAACGCTTCCGCCTCCACCACTTGCCCGTTCCCCGGGCGGCGACGGCCGCTTGTCCTGCTGCTGCTGCTGCTGCTGCTGCTGCTGCTGCTGCTTGGCGCCGCCGTTACGAGCGACACCGCCGACGAACCTGTTCCCCCGGTCGTCCGCGCTGCCCGGCCGAAGAGGAAGCGGGGACCAGGCCCCCGGCCCCGCCACCGCGTTAGCACCATTGCCGCGACGGGCGGCAGAAGCCGGCGATGACGAGGGCGGCGTTGCCCTCGATCCGCCCCAGCTACCTCCACAGGAGGAAGGCAAGCCGCCGGCGGCCGAGCATCGGAAGCTGAGCAGGAAGGAGTCGATGGCGGCGACCGGCTCCTTCGTGGAGAAGACGGCCGTCAGGGCTTGCGACGCTGTCGGGTGGGGCAAGAGGCGAGATAAGGGAGAGGGGGGGGACACCGATCTTGGTTCGCAACACACGCAGCAAGTTCGTTGAGAAGCGGAAGAACATTAACCAAAGCATTAATCGAGGAACTCACCCAAAAAGAGACAAAGGCCATATGCACCACGGGGGACAGGGAAACGACATATCTTGTTGTCTTGTCTTGGGCAGACAGAATAACGATTCGCCGTGGGCTTTCGTTTCTTAGTTATGGTGGCCTCTCGGATTCTGACGAAACAAGTATTACACGAAACTGATCGGTAAGACGCTCGATCGAGTGGCCAGGATTGCACAAGGACCGAGCAGAGCAGAGCAAGACAAAAATAAAGAAGGTTGCTGCCGCCCCCGCCCCCGCCCCCGCCATCGTGAAAGAAAGACGCACCGGCAATCCTAGCGCTGGGTTCCGCAGCTACGTCCACCATCAGCCTCGCGAGCTCTCGCAGCAGGTCTCCCAGCGACTCTTCCACACCACTTCCCCCGCCCGAGTTTCCGCCGCCGCCACCGCGGCGAGAACCGCGCCTAGCACCGCTGCTGCTACCCCCTCCCCGTGGCGGCGGCTGCGGCGGAGCCCCCGAGGCGGCTTGGGAGGTCGCGTACGGCATCTCTGCGATCAGTGCACCGGTGCATGAACACAGCTTGGCGACCACGGCAGGCGACTATCGAGAGAGAGAGA